ATTGTTGCAACGTATCGTCCAAATCGAGGATGCGGAAATATTTAGAGATCATTCAGTTGTGCACATGGGGGTGCAGCAGGTTCTGACATCTGGTTGATAAGTATGATCTTAAGAAGGTTTAATTAATTGCCTAATCATCACAATCGTGGTAGGGTCACGGGGTGGATATATATATGAAGATGGTGGTATTAGAGACTATGTAGTTCATATATGATTTCTATTTAGCGAAGGGTACATATTAGCAGCCAAGGCACTGGATAAAGCAAGTTTAACTGTCACGAGGATGACATGCGCCAAATAAATGGCTTGAGGTGTCTTATGACCGGTGTCCTACGAGCAATGAAGGTTAGTATTGTGGATCATCGGAATGTGTCATATGACTTTGCACCAAGTGAGGGGAGTCCACTATCAACGATCAGATTGCGGGGTCATGTGTTATATCAGTTTTGGCCTGAGATATACTTATGTGATAATGAATGGTTTTTCGAAACTCGTATATGATTAAGAGGTGAGATTTGTATGGGATGATGTTGGGGCTTGCAGTATTCCCGCGTCCTTAATATTTCTACATTTGAGTACCAACGGGGTCACAGAAACAATTTCAGAATATTCGGTGTGCTACAGTAAGTTCTTTTAATGCACCACCGGCACGGGGTTCTTACAGTGGTTCCAGTTATCCGGCAGAGATTCAGTATGAGCAGTCGCGCCCGCAGAGAGGTTGTTATGAGAGTGGTGATACTAGACATATCAAGAGAAATTGTCCCAGACTTGGGAGGGGTAGATTTCATCAGAACACTTAGGTTACAAGCTTTATTCCAGTTAATACTCCACGTGCATAGCCAGTTAGGGGTGGAGGATAGACGGGTAGAGGGCGCCTAAGAGGCAGAGGCCCGACCCGTTGATATAATTGCTATGAATTGGCTGAGGTCGATACACTAGATGGTGTAGTTATAGGTATGATTTAATTTATAATAAAAGGAGCACCATTCTTATTTTGATTCGATTCCGATTATCGAGGTGAGAACTCCTTTCATGCTCCTTATATATGGTGGATTAGTGAATTTGTACTCCACTCCCGTGTTTATCCCTGTTGGGAGATTTTATGGTGTTAGTCTGTGTGTATTATTTTTGTTTTATACATTATTGTGTGCTTTGAGTCCAAAAGTGACTTTCTATTACTCTCTACAGTGAATTTCGATGTGATTTCGGAATAATTGAATTCAATTTTATGAATTATATGCCCTACCGGTATGAGGGTTCATTATGTATTGAGAAAAAAAAAATATTTACGAAATTTATTGAAAAGAAGAAAGAAAGGAAATTGAAAATTTCAGTTGGCACAATGTGCAAAAAAACTTGTGATTCAGAGTTGAGGACGAGATCCTCGCATTTTTTATATGGTGTGAAATAATTAAATTGGGCTATAAGCCGCAATGAAAATTATATAAGGACGAGGTCCTTGTGGTGAAATACTTATGAGTTTAAATTCTCCTTTTGTGAAATTAAAATTTGTAATATAGTATTAATGTAACAACCCGGCCGGTCATTTTGAGAGTTAGAGCCCCGAACCCCTATTAACTGATTTTCTCATATCTATTTCTGCTATTGTGACTTGCCGGGATGATTGGTTTCAAGTTTCTGAGTGTTTTGGGACACTTAGTCCCTAAATGAGAGCTTAAGTCTTAGAATTTGGACCGTGATCAGAACTATGTGAAGACGGTTCCGGAATGAAATTCCGTCGATTTTGTTAGCTCCGTTGGGTGATTTTGGGCTTAGGGGCGTGTCCGGAATGTGTTTTGGGGGCCCGTAACTCATTTAGGTTTGAAATGGCGAAAGTCAAAATTTTAGAGTTTTGAGCCGGTAGTGAAAAATTTGATATCGGGGTCAGAATCCGATTCTGGAAGTTGGAATAGGTCCATAGTGTTGAATATGACTCGTGTGCAAAATTTGGGGTCAATCGGACGTGGTTTGGTTAGTTTCGGCATCAGTTGTCGAATTTGGAAGTTTTAAGTTCTTTAAGTTTGAATAGGAGGATCATTTGTGATTTTAGCATTATTTTATGTGATTTGTGGGTTCGACTAAGTTCGTATGGTGTTTTAGGACTTGTTGGTATGTTTGGTTGAGGTCCCGGGGGCCTGGGGTGTGTTTTGGATGCTCAACGAGTCATTTTTGGACTTAGAGAAATAGCAGATTTTTTCTGGTTTTTGTTGCAGAAGTTTGTTCTTCGCGTTCGCGAAGGTGTGGATAGTGGAAGCATCGCGAACGCGAGGAGTAGGACGCGTTCGCGAAGAGTGTTTTCTGAGTGTGAGGTTTTGTTATTCGCGTTCGCGAAGGGGAGGACGCGAACGCGAAGGTATGGTCTGTGTGTGCATCGCGAACGCCTGAGTGGTGTCGCGTTCGCGAAGAGGAGTGAGGCTATTGGGGACCCCAAGTCCTTGTTCTACGCATTCGCGAGGTGGTGGTCGCGTTCATGAAGGTTTGAGCTGGTAAATCTTCGCGTTCGCGAAGCCGTGGTCGCGTTCGCGAAGGGTTAAATTTGTGGGCAGTCGAGTTGTGCTTCGCGAACGCGAGAGACCTGTCGCGTTCGCAAAGAAAAGAGGCCTGGACAGAAAGTTTAAGTTCAGAAAATGGGTCCCATTTTCTGTTTTTAACGATTTGGAGCTCGGATTGAGGCGATTGTTGGGAGATTTTCAGAGGAAATAATTGGGTAAGTGTTCTTAACTCAATATTAGTTAAATTACCCGAATCCATAGTTATTTTTATCATTTAATTGGTGAATTAAGTTGGAAAAGTTTAAAAACTCTCTTGGATAAATTTGAGGATTTGAGGGCCGAATTGTTATCAGAATTTAGAATTTTGGTATGGTTAGACTCGTGGTGGAATGGGCGTTCCTATTTTGTAACTTTTACCCGATTCCGAGACATGGGCCCCACTGACAAGTTTTGAGTTAATTTCGGAATTTTTGTTAAAGTGTTGATTTCATTAATTAGGTGAGTCTATTTTGGTTGTATTTATGATATGTAATTGCTTTTGGTTAGATTTGGGCCATTTGGAGCCGGATATTCGTGGGAAAGAAATTGTGACCAATTGATTGAGCTTGGTTCGAGGTAAATGGCTTGCCTAACTTTGTGTGGGAGAAAATCCCCCTTAAGATTTGGAACTATTGTGATATGTGAGCGCCGTGTGCGTGAGGTGACGAGTACGTACACGGGCTAGTTGTGGTAAAACCCGATTTTTCTTACTGAGCAGCAATATGTTTTCCTGTTATTTTGAGTTATACCATTTTAATGAGTACTAATCTATTTTCATTCTTAATTGAGTTATTCCAATATGTGTAGCTATCATGTTTAGTCTAATCCAATATGTCTACGTATCTTAATTGTTTACGTGAATTCTGTGCAGCATGCTTAGTGAATTTCCCGCTTCTTCCCTGGTACTTAGTCTAAATTGTAAGAATTTCGTGATGTAGTTTTCTATCATTCGCGCCGCATATTTACTTTGGGACTACAGAACGGTATTTCGGGAGATCCCCCTGTACTACATATTTACTTTGGGACTACAGAACGGTATTTCGGGAGATCCCCCTGTACTACATATTTACTTTGGGACTACGGAACGGCATTCCGGGAGATCCCCCTGTACTGCATATTTACTTTGGGACTACGGAACGGTATTTTGGGAGATCCCCATGTACTGCATATTTACTTTGGGACTACGGAACGGTATTATGGGAGATCCCCCTGAACATTTACGTTTGGGACTACGAGATGGTATCTCGGGAGGTCCCCTATTGTGATTTCTGTGTACTGACCTGTTACCTTCTATGATTTCATTGTTGTTAAATTTCAGCCTTTATTTTATTGCGGTATTATACTCTATATTATTTTTATTATATATTTGCCAGTAGGGCCCTGACCTGACCTCGTCACTATTCGACCGAGGTTAGGCTTGGCACTTACTGGGTACCGATTGTGGTGTACTCATGCTACTCTCTGCACATATTTTTCGTGTGCAGATCCGGGTGTACCTTATCAGCCGCACTATCAGTGAGGCGGGACAACTTTAGAGACTTCAAGGTATATCTGCCGCGTCCGCAGACCTTGGAGTCCCCTTCTACTCTTTCTCATGTCCATTATCTTCTGTATTTTTACTTGTTAGACTCTGATGTATAGAGACATTAGATTTTTCTTTATGTAGTTTGTGATTCACGATGTTTCGGGTCAAAATGCTAAGGAAGATTTTTTGTGAAAGGAATTTAATAAAAATTATTTTTCAACATAACATAGACAAAAAAAAATCTTTCAAATTTTGCGAAAACTGAGGTGGAAATTGTTTGATTTTCTGCAAACTCAGTTTTCCTGTTTTAAGCTAGCGTTTGGCCATAAATTCCCAAATTTGTTCTGAAAAATCTAATTTGGGTGAAGTTTGGTTTGAAGATGAAAATGTGTTTGGACATCAGTTTTCAAAACATATTTCCCAAATTTATTTTGGAAAAACATGAAACATGACATATACCCACAAGTTCTAAAAATTATAACAAATACTCAATAGTACCATTATCAATAACATTTATTATATTATCGCAAACTATAGTCCTGAACATAAATAAATTTGATACAAAATTATCATTTTTATAATGAACTACATGATACACTATCATGTGACCAAGAAGACGAAACAACATTGTTACAAAATAATAAATGGCGGGTTCTTTTATAAAATATAAAAGTTTGGGGTAATTTTTTAAAAATATAATAATGATATTTTGGTCCATTTTGGGATTTGATCAAAATATAGGTAAAATCTACGATCAAACATATGTTTGCCAAATAAAATCCAAATTTATTTTGGCAAAATCAAACGGGTCGTGAGTTTGTTTAAAATTTTCAAAACGGTAACAAATTTGGAACTCTTACGTATTTGATTTTGAAGCAAACTCTAAAAACTATAAAAAGTTATTTGCACCCCTCTCGCCTATGCCGTTGGCTCAGCGCCGCTGCGTTGGCTAAAGGAGTGTTTGGTCCTTTCCCGCTTTCTGTACTCCATATAAATATTTCCGACTTTTCTCATCCTCTTCAAAATCCTTTGTCCTCCTCTTTGTTTCTGGAAACTTCTGTGAAGAAGCTCCAACCTCGTCACAGTTCAAATCACCGCCTAGCAAATACCTAGTTCGCAGGTTCGTTAACTTCTGTAAAGTCTATGTAATTTTGTATCTTTTGAGTTTTGAGTTTTGAGTTTCGACTTGTCATCGTTTGTTTGCTTCTCTTCTGTTATTTGTTTGATTCTAATTTACCTTAAAAGGCAAGTTAGGGTTTTCTAAAAAGTGGTTCTGTGAATTCTGTCGAACAAAAATTACTAGCGAAACTGAAAAGTCTCTTGACAATCACGGAACCTAATGGCAGAGTAATAATAGTATTTAAGCCTTAAGCTTAATTAATTGATCCTCAGTTGGTGGATGCTGAATGATATTGTTTATTTTATTTATTTAATGATGATTAGCAGAGTAAATAACAATAACTAAGCCTTAAGCTGTTTTAACCTTTCTGAATTTCGCTGGAAAATAGCCTAATTCATGTAACTCTGGATGCATGTATGGATATTCATAATAAAAGTTGTCTTAAAAGATCTATGGTCTGTCCGGTACATGCAGATGAAGAACATAACATAATGGAAGTAGAAGATCTATATATATAGGCTATACACATATACCAATTCTGGTCTAACGCTAGAGAAACCTTTATAGAAAAAGTACTGAGTGTCGGAATGAACATGTTCAAATGGAGTAGAATGGATATGGAGGACTCATATAGCTGATGCGAACCAGTTTCAGACTAAGACGCAGCAGCAACAGCAGTAGTAGTATTTGTTGCATGCAGAGGCGGATTCAGCATTTGAGGATTATGGGTTCCTACCGTAATTTCAAATTAATATATAATAATAACTGGGTTCACAATTAGATATTTACAAATATTTAGTGAATTTCTTAATATAAATACTGGGTCTACGCAAGAGTTACTGGGTTCCCGGGAACCCGTATTCATTGCTCTAGGTCCGCCCCTGGTTGCATGAATGTGTGTGAGGATTTTAATGTGCACGCTCTTGAATAATCAGACGTAGACCATATTAGGGATTTATGAATCATGTAGACAGGATCTATTACCCCAAGTGGTTCAGTGTAAGTAATCATATTAGTAATAGGTGGGAGTTAATATGAGTAAACCTTAAGAGCAAAGAGTGTGAGGGAGGAAGAACACCCTCAAAGAGAAGAAACCTTTAACTGTAAATTGACAATGTGGATATTAATGTGACTTTTTGTTAATGCTCAGTGCCTGTTGTTCTAGCGTCTATGGTTTAATTTTTTTTTTTATTATTTTTTTTCAATTAGCTTTTGGGTCCACAGACGTAATTGTTTACAAGAAAAGGGGGAAAAGTTATTGCAGATTCTTTTTGTCATGAAATATTCAAATGAGAGTACATTGTCGAACATGTTTCCTTTCTTGCTGTCCTTCGCACCCCTATCCTCATGGTTACCTGTAATCGTTTATTTATCTTCTTGCTGTTCTCATTTCAGAATTACATTGGTGCATTGAAGTAGAAGCCTGTCCAGTGAATCCCATCATCTCAACATGCCGAAAGATAGAAGGATGAATTCCTTTTCCTTCAACCGGGCAAACGTATCTCCTTATGCTTGCAGCTCAAAGAATTCTGACCTCGAGTCCCAGAAATCTTTGCCACCAATTGGGAATGAAAGAGAATGGGAAGAAGCTAGGAGCCCAATATGTATGGAGCATCCACACAATGCTGTCCTTTTACTTTGTTCTTCACAAGACAAGGGTTGTCGGCCTTATATGTGCGACACAAGTTATCGACATTCTAATTGTTTTGATCAATTTTGTAAGTCATCTGTTGTAGGAGCTCAACCAGAGGGAGATAATATATCAGGATCTGCGTTCCGCAGAGGAAGTTGGGGGCGAGCATTATCAGGAGCACCTAGGTCTCATGTGCCGCAGCAACCTGAGCTTGTTTGCCCTCTTTGCAGGGGACATGTCAAAGGTTGGATTGTTGTAGAGGCTGCTCGTAATTTCATGAACTCCAAAACAAGGAGTTGTGCCCTGGAGACTTGCAATTTCACCGGTAATTATGCTGAGCTAAGAAAGCATGCAAGGAGTGAACATCCCTCTGAGAGGCCATCTGAGGCTGACCCTAGCCGACAGTCTGACTGGACAAGGTTGGAGCTACAAAGGGACTTAGAAGATGCTTTTAGTGCATATCAGGCACCATTTGGTGATGACTTTCCTGGATATGACTTTCTAACTGAGCTGCCTCTCGACGATGGTCAATTTGACCTGTTAGACGGTTACTTAGAGGCTGAGGAGGTACTAAATGAAAACATAAATATGTTATTGGATTTTGAATTTGAGCTCTCGCTCTCTTTCCTGAATGAGTTCTCTTTGGTGTCTTCGGCATGTGAATGGGATGAGTTTCCTAGCTATGCTGGTGGGAGCGCCTATCAATCAACGAGTAGTGCTATGTCTTAAAACAGGGGATCTAGAAGATCAGCATCAAGGTCTAATAACCACGAGGCAAGGCCATCAGCTACAAGAAGCACAAATCTGTCATGGAGGCGCAGGCCTAGCTCATTTAGGGAACGGAGACGGAACAGATGAATTTAGCAATTGGTTATAACTATAGAGTTTAGCTCATGGCTTTTAGTTTTAGTTTGTATTTCTGCTAATCAACAATGAATGGAGGAACTTCCCCTTCCGCAATTCATCTCATCTTTATCTTCAAGTGAACATTGTTACTCGTGGTATCTCTTGCATTCTTATTACGGACTGTTATAGTGTTGGTCCATGTCATTCTTTCCTCTTAAAATCCAAGTTTCAACTTCGATATAATTGCAAATCTTTCTTCTACATATCCTAGAAGGCCGTGTGTTGGAATGAAACTCAATTTACTAGAGCGTACAGTGGGTTCCAATAGTATCTTCCTGCTTTTCCAGTCATAATTCTATTTGCAGACATTGGGCGCTGTCCAAGTGACACTTTCTGTTGCATTTTATATGACGGTTTTGACTGAACATTTGAGTTTGAATTTTGATGTGAGTTATAATCCTTTTACTTGTGAAGAAGAGAGACATTAAATTAATGTATTTTTGGGTTACTTTAATGGAAAATATATAACATCAAAGTGAAACTTAGGTAGTTAAATGAGTTTGATTCTTGAAAGTTGTAAAGGTTGAAAAGATGAAATGGTGTTGACAATTTTGCTAATTATTTACCTTAACTGGGATGTCATAAGAAGCTTGAATTATGACAAATGAACCATTTAGACTTTCTAACATTAAAAAGAAAGCCTTAACGAAGCTTGGTGCTCCATGTGGTAACTTGTCATGAATAATTTACCAGTTTTTGTACTTATTGTGGATAAGTTTCAGAAACATTCGTAAATTCTTTTCTTGGCTACAACCTTCACAAGGATAGTGGTTATTTTCTTAGCGTCTTTACTGTTTTATCCTTTAGAGATTGAATCAGAAAAGTTATTTTCCAAAATTGTATGCATAGCCAAACACAATTCTAATTTTCAAATATCATTTTTACTTAATTTTTTTTTTTTTTTTTTACTTTTTTCCGAAATTTCACAATTCTTATGTTCAAACATCCAACTAATATTTTCGTATTTTGTTCTGTTTTTATCTTTGTATTTAACCCGAATCAGCACATTATATTTAGTCTCTTTAAATCAAAACTGCCGAAGTCAAATAAATATTTTTAACACATTTTATATACATGGTATCTGTGTGTTCGTTAAATCGATGAAGCTACCCGAAGGCGAAGGCTATGAACATAGAAACGGAGAGCAATTTAAAGAAATGACCTTAAATCTTAGTGTACTAACCCCTAATGTGTGTACACATATACACAACCACACCCAACATCCACACCTAGATTAATTTGCTGAATAAACAGAACTTTGGAAAGCAAAACTGTAATTGAAGAGAAAAAAATGTCAAGTTTGTGTCTACAAATGAATGAAAATAGCAAACATCCAAAACTTTATTATGCAGAAGATTTTATGTCAAAACTGGAAACTAAATCCTAGCATTCAACATAATACAACTATTAACTATATGAAAACTGTGTACTCCTCTCTGTTACTTCTTTCCAATGCATTTATCATCAGCTATTCATTCTGATGACGAATCTTTGTGATGGACTTCAATTTATCAATCAGGAACTCTGAAGTTCAAGCCTTGTACTTAACCAATTACAGACCTCATACACTGTATAATATACCAAGGCTCTTCTTTTTTTCTTCAGCTATATATGTTGAACATGAAATATTTGTTATGTAGTGTTTATCGTCGTGAACCTTCAAGTCCAAGCCTTACAGTTAACCAATTACAAACCTCACTCATTTCCTTTGGCACTGTGTAATGGCCTAGCCTGCAGATCGCGAATAAGTTGGTGTAATTTAGACAACTCTTTCTTAAATCGTGAGAAGTACAATTTTGTTGCGAGAGAAAAAGAAGGGTTACCCGTCATAGGCTTTGAATTGAAGATTCCTGAATCCAGCTGAGCTCAAGACATGGTAAGCCCTCTCTCCATATCTATAAGGAACAACTTCATCGCCTAACAAGTACAAATAATAGTGTAAGATGGATATGGAGGTTGACATTGTACATACTTCATATGAGTTACATTAGTCAATTTGCACTAATAGCTGAAAACATCAAGAGGCCTCTTTGGAGCAAGGTTAAGATAGCAACAACAATAACCCAGTAAAATCCCACAAGTGAGATTTGGGGAGGGTAGTGTGTACGTAGACCTTACCTCTACCCCGAGGGAGTAGAGAAGTTGTTTTCGATAAAGGTTAAGATAGCCTTATTCATAAGAACTCACAAGGTTTTAAAACCAAAATTTGCAAGTGAAGTGCATACATTTTCCATGATAGAGTAGAATGGGCAAAGATGCAGCACATCTTGCAGCCTCATGCGATCCTTCAATCTTGTTCCTCACATTCCTGCAGAATATCAGTAGTTAACTCCAAAGTACTTTTGTTTTGTAGAGCAAAAAAAGAAAACAAAAGAAAAACACAGGAGAAAAGAGTTTTTAAATGACTCTTCCTTCCCTCTCCTTTTTGTAGTAAAAGCTTTTATAATTCAAGAAACTAACTTAATAGAATATATTCCGCACTATTAATGGACATAAATTTGGCTCAATACCTAGGGCCAGTGGCGAAGCCACATGGTTATAAAGGTGGTCAACTGAATACCATTCGTCGAAAATTGCACTGTATACATAGGTAAAATATTACGTTTTAGAGGTATATAACACATATTGAACACCCTTTGTCGTAAATTTTTTTCACTTTTTTTAAATTTGAATACCCTTGAAGAAATTACTAGTTTCGCCAGCCTAAGTCATGTGATAAACCATATTATCCTCTAGCAGAAAAGGGAGGGAAAAAAAAGAGAGAATCAACAGAGCTATATATAGTTTGAAAAATGATTTGCACACCTGGAACCAGGAAGCCACCCACTGAGACCTATGACAGCCCTCAAGTTGACAGGGTAAGGGTTTCCATTTCCATATTTTCCCTGTGCAAAGCAAGTTGCTGAGTAGAGTGCGGTAGCAGCACCCATGCTGAAGCCTCCAATACCAAGTTTAACTG